AAACAAAAATAAACAAATGGGACCTAATTAAACTTCAAAGCTTTTGCACAGCAAAGGAAACCATCAACAAATCGAAAAGACGACCCACAAAATGGGAGAAAATATTTGCAAACAAAGTGACCAACGGGATTAATCTCCAAAATATACAAACAGATCATGCAGCTCTGTCAAAAACACAAACAACTCAATCAAAAAATGGGCAGAAGATCTAAACAGACACTTCTCCAAAGAAGACATACAGATGGCCAAAAAGCATGTGAAAAGATGCTCAACTTCACTAATTATCAGAGAAATGTAAATCAAAACTACAATGAGGTACCACCTCACACCAGGCAGAATGGCCATCATCAAAAAGCCTACAAACAATAAATGCCGGAGCGTGTGTGGAGAAGAGGGAACCCTCTTGCACTGTTGGTGGGAATGTAAATTGATACAGCCACTATGGAGAACAGTATGGAGGTTCCTTAAAAATCTAAAAATAGAGTTGCCATATGATCCAGTAATCCAACTCCTGGGCATATATCTGGACAAAACCATAATTAGAAAAGACAGATGCACCCCAATGTTCACTGCAGCACTATTTACAATAGCCAGGACATGAAAAAAACCTCAATGCATATATACAATGGAATATTACTCAGCCATAAAAAAGAATGAAATAATGCCATTTGCAGCAACATGGATGGACCCAGAGATTATCATACTAAGTGAAATAAGCCAAAGACAAAAATCATATGACACCACTTATATGTGGAATCTAAAAAAATGATACAAATGAACTTATTTACAAAACAGAAACAGACTCACAGACATAGAAAACAAACTTATGGTTACCAAAGGGGAAAGGTGGCAGGGAGAGATAAATTAGGAGTTTGGAATTAACATATATACACTACCATATATATAAATAGATAATCAACAAGGACCTACTGTACAGCACAGGGAACTCTACTCAATATTCTGTAATAACCTATACATGGGAAAAGAATCTGAAGAAGAATGGATACATGTATATGTATAAATGAATCACTTTGCTGCACACTTGCAACTAACACAACATTGTAAATCAACTATACTCCAATATAAAATAAAAATTTAAAAAAAATACACGCACTCCAGTGTTCACAGCAGCACCATTTACAATAGCCAAGACATGGAAGCCACCTAAATGTCCATCAACAGAGGAATGCATAAAGAAGATGTGGTATATATGTACAATGGAATATTACTTGGCCATAAAAGAAGAATTAAATAATGCCATTTGCAGCAACATGGATGGACCTAGAGACTATCATACTAAGTGAAGTCAAGTCAGATAGAGAAAGACAAATAGCACATAGTATCACTTATATGTGGAAGCTAAAAAAAATGATACAAATGAACTTATTTACAAAACGGAAATAGACGCACATAGAAAACAAAGTTATGATTATCAAAGGGGTAACAGTATGGGGGACAGATAAACTAGGAGTTTGGGGTTAACACACATACACTACTATGTATAAAATAACCAACGAGGACCTACTGTATAGCACAGGGAACTCTATTCAGTATTGTTATAACCTATATAAGAAAAAAGTCTGAAAAAGAATGGATATATGTATAACTGAATCACTTTGCTGTATACCTGAAACTAACACAACATTGTAAATCAACTATACTCCAAAACAATTTATTAAAAACAAAAAGACTCATGGGTAGGATTTATAAAGGAGAAAAAGACCATGATTCCTTTATATTATTTATGGTTTATTTTTTAAATGGGAAGAGTAAGTCAGGCTTGTTGTAACACACAACATTTATAAATGTGTACAAAATAAAGGTGTATAAAGAAAAAATATATACATATATGATACCTTTTTCAAGTGTCTGGGATAAATAAGTGATGGGCTGTATGACCAGGACTCTCTCTTTAATTAGAGTGTTCCAGGCCAGATGCATTTCATTATCTTGTAGCTGTTTTAGTCCATCTGGACCAAGACTTTCCCAAATGTGCTCATTCAGTTTCACGGCTTTAGATACCATTTTTATACTGAAAACTCACCAATTTACATTTTTAGGTGAGACTCCTTTCTGAATTCTGTACCCATATGTTGAACTGCATTCTCAATATTTTTACCCTCAGACGTGACACGTCCCAAACTAAACTCCTACCTTCTTCCTCTGAACCCTCCTGGAGCCGGATTCCAGTCCTCCCCGGGGCGCAGGCCCCAACCTCAGATTATCCTTTATGCCTCTTGTTCTCACATTCCCCAGTCATCCAGCAAATGCCATCGGCTCTACCTTCAAAATATATCCAGAGATTGGCTACTTCTCACCAACTTCCACTGCTATCATTCTGCTCCAAGTTTCATGATTTCTCGCCTGGATTATTCAAACAGTTTCCTACCTGCTTCATTGCCTGCCCTCCTACCATCTATTCTCAACACAGCAGCCAGATCGGTGCTTTTAGAACTGTCTCTTCTCAGCTCAAAACCCTTCCATGGTGAGTTCCCTGGTGGCCTAGTGGTTAGGATCCCAGGCGTTCACTGCCGCGGCCCAGGTTCAATCCCTGGCCAGGGAACTGAGATCCCACAAGCCGCATGGCACAGCCAAAAAGCAAAACAGAACAAAAAAGCCCTTCCAATGTTCCCGTCATCCCTTGGAGTCAAAGCCCACGTCCTCGAGTGGCCTTCGAGGCCCTGCGTACAGCAGGCCCCTCGCAGCCTTCCCTTCTCGTGTGCCTGGCTTGCCCTGCTTGAGCACCACCTGCCCCTGCTGCTCTGGAAGGTGCATGGCGCACACCTACCTCAGGACCTCTGCACCAGCCCGGAAAGCTCTGCTCCTTCCCTGCAGTGCTCGCTCCCTCCTCACCATCCTCTTATCTTTGTTTCTATATCAGCGTCTCAGCAGCGCCCTCCCTGCCCAGCCCCTGTACAATTTTCAACTGTTCCAATCAGGCGCTCCCATCCCCCTTCCTCCCTAAAGTTTGCTTCATTGGGCACTGCCTTGGAATACAAGAAATCTCTAACTCAACTAGCTGTTTATTTTCCTCCCCAGTTAGAACAGAAACCCCATGTAAAAGGTCAGGGGTTGACTAGCATGTCATCAGCACCTAGAGTTGTGTATTACATATAGGAGGTGCCCAATGAGTATATGTCCAGGAAATAAGGTGTAATATGAAAATGAACTTGTCCCAAATAACGAAAGTTTCTCTTTTCAAATCCCCAGATTTTTAAAAAAAAGTTAATAAAAATCTTAAAAAAAAAAAAAGCATATACTATGCTTTCTTAATCCTAGTACACGGATCAAAATTTAAACTTTGCTACTGGGTGCCAGCTGCTGTTCTAAGCACATCACACAGCTTTTCTCAACAAATCTTATAACCGCCATGAGAACGGTACCCCATCAGGGGGAGTTACCCTACCCACTTCTCCCATATGGAAACCCAGGTACCCAGAGTAACGTATGTGGAGGCACTGGGTCCACAGTCTCAACCCCTACCCTCACCCAGTGGCACACCCACTGGGTCCTACACTCTCTCTTGCACACGGTCAGATGCTCCTTGTCACTGAGACCAACACATCTCCTCCCAAGTAGCCTCTTAAAATGTCTTTTCGCTATGAGCTAAAAAGAACAAAAAGCCATGTCTCTTAAAACAGGTCCTAATTTTACCCTCACATCAAACTGGGCTGCAGCTAGAAGCAAAGCTTTTTTTTGCTGCTTGCTGTTTTAACTTCCAGGATGTGTTCTCTGAAGACCATATACAATAAAAGTTTAAACAATCCACTCTTAGTGCCGCTTTTGTGTAGGAAAGGAGACACCAGCAGTGCTGAAAAGAAATGTACTGAAAAATAGCTTCAGAGATGGAATCATCAGAGCATACCCACTGTTGCTGTAGCTTGTATATTTATAATTAGAGAACTGAGAGGAAATGGTGGGATCATCTCTGATAAAATGCTGTCTACATCCTATGGAATCACGTTGGCAAGACTGACAGAAATTCTCACATGTTCTATCTGGGCTTCTTCTGAAACATACTGTAGACCAGTTAGATTTGCTACATTTTTACTGTCCTTCTATATCTGACACTGGATGCTGTCACTTCCCAATCTTATGAATGTGTTTGCCTCTATTGGATTTCCCACTTTTAATTCACTAAGATGATCCAAGAACCCTATAAAAAGGTAATTTATTTTATACCCAAATGTTTTACATCAATTAGCAACTATGTTAACAACCCCCCCTTTATTTTTGGCCACGCTGTGCAGCGTGCAGGGTCTTAGCTCCCCGACCAGGGATCGAACCCGGGTCCCCTGAAGTGGAAGCGCAGAGTCCTAACCACTGGACTGCCAGGGAAGTCCCAACAATGCTCTATTTTTAAGACAGAGCAGAATGTTTGAAATTCCTTAAATGTCTCAGAGAAGAAATTCTATTATTGCCTGAGATGAAAGAGTGAGTCAACATAAAGGAAAACCAGGTGTTCTGTGTGTGTGGTACAGTGTATGTAAAATTTACCATTTTAACCATTTTTAAGTGTACAATTCAATGGCATTAAGTACACTCACACTGTTTACAACCATCACCATTATCCCATCTCCCGAACTTCTTCATCATCCCATGAAACAGGAACTCCCCATTCGCTCTCCTGTCCCTCCAGCCTCTGGCAACCTCTTTTCTACTTTCCGTCTCCATGAATTTGCCTATTCTTGATACTCATATAAACAGAATCACACACCATTTGGTCCTTTTGTGTCTGGCTTATATAACTTAGCATAATGTGTTCAAAATTCATCCATGTTGTAGCGTGTATGAGAATTTCATTCCTTTTGAAGGCTGGGTAATATTCCATTGTATGTACATACCACATTCTACTTATCCCTTCATCTGTTGATGGATACCTGGGTTTTTTCCACATTTTGGTTACTGTGAATAATGCTGCTATGAATACTGCTCTCAGTCTTTAAAAGATCAAACTAGTAAAGGTCACCTTTCTTCCACAGCAAAAAATTATCACATACCACAGTGAAGAGTTTTCGCTGTAATGGCTGATATGATGTCACTTCCTTCAAAGTCCAAGTACAAGCCATGTTTGGTCTCTGTCCCAGTCCACTGCAGGGAGCATCCAGAAGAATTCGGTCAAAAGATTCTGGTAAGAATGGAGGTTCTCCTATAAAGAGAATTATAAACATTATTTGCTCTCTGCCCTATTAGGACAGAAAACTCCTGAAACAGATGCAATTATCGGAATTTAACATCATCATCTAGAACAGAAAGTAATGCATAACAATTCCATCAGGTAGCTGGCTCAGCTAACTGACTTACAGGTAAAAGAGGTTAAAGATGTGATTATTATAGGATTAACTGATATAGCGCAAGCCAAGGCCTAATCAAACAAGACCGCTACCCCCAATGTCAGAAGCCACACTTCACCAGGGCTGGGACATGAAATTAACTCTAGTCATTCTAAGAGCTGGTATTTTTCTTAGTAAATCTTACTGCAGACGGCCCCAGAAAAAGAGACTACCTTTTAGTTTCTAGGCAAACACCCTGGTTCTATGGTTCCTCAGCTTCCTTGCTTCTGTGGCCATCAGCAAGGCTATGCTCTAGAATGAGTCTACATGGCCCCGAATCCAATCTTCCACAGGTTTCCCTCTGCATTTGCTTACATAACTTTCTCCACTCCAGCTTCTCATCTACTTAGGGTTACTGGAGAAAATCATGAAACCAAGCGGGTCTGCTCATATATTTATGGTATCTAACTGTAGGCAAGATATTACTACAGACTGCTTTCATGCAAAGCTAGCTGATTTCCTACGGTGCCCACAGCAGCGTTCTGGGTCTCACCCCAAGATAACCTGCTTTTCTGACTGCAAAACTGTGAGACACGAGCTCTTATCAATTTCACTCATCTCCATCCACAACCATCCTTGCTTTCTTATCGACTGCCTCCAAAGAAATATCTTTCCAAAGTAAGCAATTATTAAGGGTTTTAATACATACTGATAAAATCCTGTAGAAAGAGTATATGCAATTTACACTTCCAGCGTCATGAGTGTACTTTCCCCAAAATCCTCATCAGTTGATAATTATGTTATTGACCATTTGTATTTTTTTGTTTAGATGGTCACATCGTCTTTGCTGGTTTTCTACTGAGACTTGTCTTTTTTGTATTGATTAGAAGAGCTCTTTGTACATCAAAAATAGTGATCTCATCTTAACTATTTTACAAATATTTCCCACTGTTTGCCATCTGCCACGTTTTTTTTTTACATACATAAATGTTGAGTATTAAATTTATCTTTTTTCTTGAGTTCTAGCTTTGCTTTCATGCTTTAAAATCTTCCCCATTATGAAGTCAAATAAATGTTCATCTATACCTGCTTCTAGTTACTTTCCATTTAATTCTTGACAGTAAACTTTAATCCATCCTAAAGTTACTTTTGTGTATAAACCTTTCCCCCAGCCCTCCAAACAAAAAAATCATCTTAGAGCCATTTATTAATTTACTTTTCCCTCTAGGTTTGCAATGCTAATTTTATCATATACGAAATTTTAGTATACATTTGAACCTATTTCAAGGACTATCTGTTCTGCTCCAAATATGCTAGTTATTAAGCTATATTCTTCTGAGCTCCAAGTTTACCCACTTCTACTCTGCTGTGTGATGCTGAGGGCGGAACTCTGTGAACTACAATTCTCCTTTGCCTGTTGGCTTCAAGATTCACCAACAGGAGGCAGAGAAGCGATGGGGGTGGGAAGAGGATGAAAGATAAAAGGGGTAGAGGACAGAACTTGATCCTTCCTGATGGCTTGCTGTTTCTGTCAAAACAAGCCCAGTAGGGCTTCCCTGGTGACGCAGTGGTTGCGAGTCCGCCTGCCGATGCAGGGGACACGGGTTCGTGCCCTGGTCCAGGGAGATCCCACATGCCACGGAGCGGCTGGGCCCGCGAGCCATGGCCGCTGAGCCTGCGCGTCCGGAGCCTGTGCTCCGCAACGGGAGAGGCCACAACAGTGAGAGGCCCGCGTACTACACACACACAAAAAAAACAAGCCTAGTAACAGCCCTTCGCCTTGACAGGTACAGTTTCCAGCTTTTTCCCTTAAGTATCCGTACGAAGTGGACAGAGCCCCCTCTCTCAAGCTGGACCCTGCGCAGCACAGCAGCGAGGTAAAACCCCCTCCTTAGAGTTCTGAATCCCAGCTCCAGGGAGCCTCGCCCCTGAACTTCTGGAGAGCCCAGAAATAAATCCGCACACTTATAGTCAATTAATCTATGACAAGGGAAGCAAAAGTACACAATGGGGGAGAAGACAGTCTTCAATAAGAGATTTGGGGAAAACTGGACAACTATATGCAAAAGAATGAAGTCAGAGCATTTTCTCACACCATATATAAAAACAAAATGAAAATGAACAAAAGTCCTAAATGTAAGACCAGAAACCATACACCAACTAGAAGAAAACACAGGCAGCACACTCCTTTGCAGAAGTCTTAGCAATTCTGTTTCACCTCAGGCAAGGAAAACAAAAGCAAAAATACACAACTAATCAAACCTAAAAGCTTTTGCAGTGAAAGAAACCACCAACAAAACCAAAAGACAATCTATAGAACGGTAGCAAATGATCTGCCTGATAAGGGTTAATACCATACCCAAAGTATATAATGAACTCACAAAACTCAATATCAAAAAAACAAAACCACCTGATTAAAAAACGGGCAGAGAACCTGAACAGGCATTTTTCCAAAGGAGACAGACAGATGGCCAACAGGCACATGACAAGACACCCAACGGCACTGATCATCAGGGAAATGCACATCAAAACCACAGGTCATCAAAAAGACAAGAGATGACAGGCGTTGAAGAGGGTGTGGAGAAAAGGGAACCCTCATGCATTGCCAGTGGGAATGTAAACTGGTGCAACCACTATGGAAAACAGTATGGAAGTTCCTCATAAATTAAAAACAGAACTACTACTAATGAAAAGAACAAAGAGGCAGAAGACCAACAGGAAACAGAACACTTCAACGTTATAAACCAACTAGACCTAATAGAAAACACTATGTAACAGCAGAACGCATATTCCTCTGCCGTGCACGTGGAGACAAACCATATGCAAGGCCATAAGACAAAGCTGAGTAACTCTGAAAAAGCTTAAACTCACACAACGTTTCTTCTCCCACCAAAATGGAATGAAAACAGAAGTTAGTAACAGAAAGAAATCTGGAAAATTCCAAGTATGTGGAAATTTAAAAACATGCTCCTAAATAACCGTGGGGCAAAGAAATCACAGGTAAATCCTAAAATGCTGTGACGTGAACGAAAACAAAACACAATGTACCAAATCTTATGGGAAGTAGTGAAATAGTGCGTAGAGGGACATTTACAGCTGTAAATACCTACATTAAAAAGAAAAGTCTCAGGACTTCCCTGGTGGTGCAGTGGCTGAGAATCCACCTGCCAATGCAGGGGACATGGGTTCGAGTTCTGGTCCAGGAAGATCCTGCATGCCATGGAGCAACTAAGCCCGTGCGCCACAACTACTGAGCCTGCACTCTAGAGCCCGCGTACTGCAACTACTGAGCCCGTGTGCCACAACTACTGAAGCCCACCCGCCTAGAGCCCATGCTCTGCAACAAGAGAAGCCACCGCAGTGAGAAGCCTGCACACCGCAATGGAGAGTAGCCCCCGCTTGCCGCAACTAGAGAAAGTCTGCACAGCGACGAAGACCCAACACAGCCAAAAATAAAAAGATAAATTTATTAAAATAAAAAAAAAAGAAGAAAGAAAAGTCTCAAAGTAATAACCTAGGCTTCCATTCTTAAGACACTGAAAAAAGATGAGCAAACTAAAAATGAAGCAGAGGAATAAAATAATAAAAATTAGAGCAGAGAGGCTCCCCCGACGCCAGGGCCTCAGTCACTTCAGTTTGGCATGCGGCTCTCAGGGGTAAAAGGGGCTCCAGAGGTGTGTCTCCAACCCCAGTGCCAATCACCCCACACCACAATCGTTGTGGGGAAGAGAATAGAGGAGTGAAGAAGGGTGCATTTTCCCTCTCACCTCAAAGCTCAGCTAGGGAAACCACGTAGCCCTGACCAGTGGGCTCAAGGCCCTACTGGAAACTGGTTCTCAGCTTGAGAGATGAGGAAACAAGAACCAGTAACAAGCACTTTTTTTTTTTTCAACTTTTGAGGGGTGTTGAGACAAGATGGCAGAATAGATCTTTAGCCAGACTTGTCAAGAAAAAAGGGAGAGGGCTCAGATGAATAAACTTAGAAATGAAAAAGGAGAAGTTGAAATGGACACCACAGAAATATAAAGGATAAGAGACTACTACAATCAACTATATGCCAATAAAATGGACAAACTAGAAGAAATGGACAAACTCTTAGAAAAACACAATCTCCCAAGACTGAACCAGGAAGAAATAGAAAATATGAACAGACCAATCACAAGTACTGAAATTGAAACTGTGATTGAAACCTCCCAACAAACAAAAGTCGAGGGGCTTCCCTGGTGGCGCAATGGTTGACAATCTGCCTGCCAATGCAGGGGTCGTGGGTTCGAGCCCTGGTGCAGGAAGATCCCACATGCCGCGGAGCAACTAAGCAACTAAGCCCATGCACCACAACTACTAAGCCTGCGCTCTAGAGCCTGCGAGCCACAACTACTGAGCCCGTGTGCTGCAACTACTGAAGCCCGCTCACCGCAACTAGAGAAAGCCCACGCACAGCAACACAGACCCAATGCAGCCAAAAATAAAGATAAATAAATAAATAAATCTATTTATTTATTTAAAAAAAAGAGAAAAGTAGAGGACCAGATGGATTCACAGGCAAATTCTATCTAACATTTACAGAAGAGTTAACACCTATCCTTCTGGAACTATTGCAAAAAACTGCAGAGGAAGGAACACTCCCAAGCTCATTCTATGAGGCCACCATCACCCTGATTCTAAAACCAGACAAAAATACCACCAAAAAAAAAAAAAAAAAAAATTACAGACCAATATCACTGATGAACATAGATGCAAAAATCCTCAACAAATATACTAGCAAACCAAATCCAACAATACATTAAAAGGATCACACACCATGACCAAACGGGATTTATCCCTGGGATGCAAGAATTCTTCAACATCTGTAAATCAATCAGTGTGATACACCACA